CCTGATGGACCCCTTGCAGTAGAGTTAAAATCTCTCGAGCTGTTTGTTCTAAACTCTGCACAACTTTTCGGATTTCCTCTCGGATGTCCTGTTCGGCCGCCAAAAAGCCCTGCAGCTCTACGAAGATTTCGCTCACAGACATGGCGCCAGGTACGCAGCAATCAGCCAGTGTGGCAAGGGCGACCCCAGAAACGCGTTCCGCAGGCTACCAGTGCAGTCTATCCCTAGGCCCGCCACCGCCGCGTCCCCATTTCCACATTTTAACTTAAGATTTACCAACAACATTTTGACCAACATTTTACCAACAATATAAGACACAAAACAGAAGCAACTGTAAGCAATTTTAACAGTACTATGTGAAGCAAAATTGCATGAGGCAAAGCATGAACAATTATGAGCAATAGACAAACACATATTAACATTTGAAACATAAATTTGTTATCTAAGCAAGTCCTAATTCAGAATTTATGAAAGAAAAGCAAACTCATACCTCCATCCAATGATCTTGGAGGGAACCTCCAAAATGATACAGGGAGAAAAACTGGTCTTGGGTGGGTGACCTCCAAACTATATAGGGAACCTCCAAATGACATAGAGAAAAATGATCTCTGGACCTGACCTGCATGAGTTTGTGTTCTCTAAAACTGAAGAATGAATTTTAGGAACAAACGGAGGTTATGCGCAGAATATATTTATTGAGAGAAAGAAAGCTCCTGTCCAAGAGAGGGACAGGAGGGGGGCCCAAGTGGGTAGTTCCCACTGTAGACAGTTCTTAATAAAGAAATAATATTAATTCTATGAAACTTCTGTCACAAACTACAAGAGGAGAAACCACTTCCAAGTTCATTTTGAGAAAGCAGTATTAACCAGAAACAAAACCAGGTAAAGACACTTCAGAAGAATAATAAACCAATATTTCTTGTAAATATAGACAGAAAATTTATCAACAGACCAAACTTAATAAAAGGGATAATATACCACAACCAAGTAGGTTTACATGCAATGTAAAGCTGGTACAATATTTAAAGATGAATCAATGGAATTTCCTTTCTGCTATGGTTTGTGTCTAGCTGTCCCCCACAGCCTCAGACAGTCATAGGTGGGCTTTTTCAGATGTGGCTGGATCTAGAATGTGTGATGCTGGGATTGATACATGATGTAATGCTAGGATCAAGGGCACTAGGATTAAGGGTGAGGATGCTACCTGCCCTATGTAGCCTGGATGAGATATAAGGACTAGGAAGGACTGTGGGTGTCCCTCACTCACTTTGCTGCCTTCTGCCCACCATGAACTCTTTCTCCTCTGTAATCCCTGTGTGCCGTGCCACACTATTTTATAGACAGCTTACTGAAACCTCTACAAACTGAGCTAAGTAAACCTTTTCCCAAGTGTAGGTATTAGGTATTTTGTCTCAGCAACAAGAGAACAGTAACTTAGACACGTTCCATTGAAAATTAACAGATACTATATTGATATTCTTTCTTGAACCAAATATAAAGTAGAAAAAACATGTGAAACACAAATCAGAAAACCGGATTTGAGGCGGTGGAAGGCAATAATCTTGAGAATTAGAGGAAGCTGGAGGTGAGTCCTTGATTGGTTAGCTTGCTGCCTGAAGAAAGTTTCAGGTTGTGACACAAGGAAGAGGGGATCCCAGACAGAAGCCCAGGAAACTCTCTGAATGCAAAAAGGACTGAAAGTTCAGGAAAGTGGAAGTGTTTACAGTTTGCATTACTGAGTACTGGAAAAGAATCAAGTTCTGCAAAGAAAGAACATTTTGCAAATATAAAGAAGGCCCCGTTCAGAATTCAAGTGAGTACTGATCAATGCATTTATGTGATCAAAGAACTTGAGCTCAGGTACTGCTTGGGATACAGTTTGAGTGTGCCCAGGAGCTCATATGTCAGAAACTGAGTCCTCAGGATAGTGGTGGAGGGAGATGTTGAGGAATCTTTAAGAGTAGGGCCTGGTGGGCAGTGGCTGTGTCACTGAGACAATGAATTTATAAGGAACTGCAGTTCTTACAGGGCCCTCATTAATATTCACAGTGCATTGTGCAAGAGCAAGCCTGGCCAAGCCCTAGTTTCTCCCTGGCCTCTTTCACTGTCATATAATTAATATTTTGTCTGTCTCCGTGTCTGTCTGTCTGTCTGTCTGTCT